TAAAAAAAAAAAAAAAAAGTCCTGCTGGCAGGGGGAGGAGGTGCAGCAGGAGGGCTCGCAGCTAGACTGCTGGCAGCAAGAGGGTGTGCAGGAGCTGGGCACATAATTCACTGGGGTGTTGACAAGGGTCAGGCAGGGGGCTGTGGTGCAGCCACAGGGGGGCTCGCAGCAGCTCTCTGGGCAGTTGTCCACCTGCCAGGAGCTGTTGGAACAAGCACTGGAGCAGACAGACATGGTGGACACAGCTGTGTGGGGTGGTGAGCTGGGCAGGGTGTGAGTGAGTGTGTGAGCTGTCTGGGTGCTCCAGCTTTTATTCCCCTCCAGGGTGTGTTCTGTTCCAGCAGGAGGCTCGGCAACGCCCTTCCCTGGTTGGTGTTTTGACCCAGGAGAACCTCATTAGGGCCGGTTCTGTGGTCACGAGACGTCCTTGCTCAGCTCATAAAACTTAGACGGTGCAGGGCACCCCAGCTGCCACTGGCCTGCAGGAACCCCTGGGGGTGACGTGCGGCCTCCCGGAGCTGACCCCACAGCTGCCACCTGGCAGGTCATGTGTGGGTGCCTGGTGTGGGCTCTCAGCCGGGTCGTGCTCCATGGGCGCCCAGCCTCCGCCTGCAGCGGCCCCCCCATGCAGCCTGCCCTGGCCTGAGGTTGGGAGAGATGGGGATGAGGGGAAGGCAGGGGAAGCAGCCCTTCCTGGGTGGGCTCTGGGATCCTCTGGGATCCCTGTATTGCCAAGGGCAGCGAGGACAGAGAGGACCTCCCCGCCCTGAGAAAGGGATGGGACTTCCAGTGAGGCCAGCTGCACAGTCGGTGTGTTAGGATGAGCGTAGCCGGAGACTGAGCTTTGGGTCCTAAACCGCTGTCCCCTGCAGCCCATGTCAGTTGTCCTGGGAGAGGCGGGTCCTGGGCAGGACCTGAGGATGGGGAGGGGACTCAGACTGGAGGAGGTGGGACTGGGGTGAGGTCATGTGAGGGAGCTGAGGACACTGGCCTGGGCCCGGGAGGTCAGCCGGGCAGCATGGGCCTTCACCTCAGGGCTGGGATGGTCCCAGGTGGGCTCCTCTGTCTGAGCCCAGCATGGCACGGCATGGCCTGCTGATGGTTCCCGCCAGGAGCCGCTAATATTTTCCAACACCCTTTCAGCCTTTCTCAGCTGGGGACACAGCAATATCAGCTTCAGCAGAAAGGAGACCTCTTATCCTTCATTGTGGCCCAAACCTGCAGTTGTCTCATTGCACACTTTCCAGTTAAAGACAAGGAGGGAGGTGGCAGTCCTGCTGCCACAGGAACCTTTTGCTCTTGTCCTGGAGGTCCAGCAGAGCAACAGCCAAGAAATTGAAATGAGGCGTGCGTTTCTGATATTTGCAAGTGACTTGACTGTCCACCTGAAGGTCTGAATCTCCCACTGGAGTGGCTGTCACAGGCCCCTTCACTGAGGGGCAGGATGTGAGATAAACCACAGCAACCAGCAGCCTCTCCTGCACGCGGCCACACCAGTGTGAGAGTGCCACGGGACAGTGAGCCCACAGACACATTGCAGCCCGTACCGTGAAACACCTAAGAAGAATGTCCGTAGACAGAGGGTAACTCGTGGACAGTTATGAAACTTTGCCGAAGGACACACTCAGCATATCTGTGTGAACTCAGGACGTGATATGGTCACGGGGGAGACTCGGTGCTGCGTAGCTGTCCGCTGTCCCCGGTCATTCAGTTTTGATCAAATTCCACCTAAGCCACGTGGGCTGCCAGCACGTAGCGGTGCACTCCATGCCCTGCGGCTGCTGGCACACGGCCCGTCTGGCCACTGAGGGGTGAGGCCCGTGGAGTCTCAGCTCACCATGAGGGAAGAACCGTGTCTGAAGACTCACTCAGCCAGGGGCAGTGGGAGGCAGTGTCTTCTCTGGCGGGATGCAAGAAGGTGCAGGCCCAGCGCACCAGAACGGGCCATCCTAGCATGTGGGTGACGAGGCGGTGACATCTCATAGTGCTTACCGAGCAGGGGCTCTGTGCCAGGCAGCGTTCTGAGCACTCTACGTCTATTATCTCATTTCATTTCCACATCGAGTCTGTGACCAAGGCAGACGGCAAAGCCTTGGCACAGACAGTGAAGCAAGCTGCTCACAGTTACACGGTAGAAAGCGGCAGACCCAGGACTGGGGGCCAGCCAGTCTGTGGACAGATCTATGCACTTAGCCAGGACTCCCCCCACTCCAAAATGATGGTGGAGATGAAAGACAGTAAGTGTTCAGGAAACTTACACCAAAGAGCCGGATTAAAAATTCACATTGGTGGGCCGGCCCCGTGGCTCACTCGGGAGAGTGCGGTGCTGGTAGCGCCGAGGCCGCGGGTTCGGATTCTATATAGGGATGGCTGGTGCGCTCACTGGCTGAGCACAGTGCGGACCACACCGTGCCAAGGGTTGTGATCCCCTTACTGGTTAAAAAAAAAAAAATTCACATTGGAGGCAGAAAAGAGCAAAATTAACACCACAGAGATCCATTCCATGGTTTTAAGGACAAATATGAGTCGTTCTTCCAAAATAGAAAGGTAAAGGATAAAACCATGAATATAATGACAGAAAATAGAATAA